AGACGTCTCAAGAATTCTTTCTTGACCATTCGCTCTGAACCCCAACATTTTCACATTAACAACCACAGGCAACTATCCAAAAAACAGAAAGTTACAAGTGTTGGCAAGGATGGACAGAAATTGGAACCCCCACACACCATTGGTGGGAATATAAAACTAAAATAGTGTAGCTGCTAAGGGAAACAGTATGGCGGTGCCTCAAAAAATTAAAAATAGAACTACCATATGATCCAGGAATCCCACTGCTGTGTATGGCTCCAAAGGAATATTATATTATACAGCCCTTAAAAGGAAGGAGACTCTGACACACTCTACAACACGGATGATCTTTGAGGACATTATGCTCAGTGAAATAAGCCAGTCACACAAAAAACAAATACTAGTCGATTTAGATGAGGTATCTAGAGTGGTTGAATTCGTAGCAACAGAAAGTGGAAATGTGGCTGCCAAGGGTAGGGGGCAGCAGAGAAGGGGGAGTTGTTTAATGGGTGTAGAGTTTCAGTTTTGCAAGATAGAAAGACTTCTGGAATTAGTCAAGCAACAGTGTGAATACACTTAACACTACTGAGCTGAACACTTAGAAATGGCGAAGATGGTAAATTTTTTTTTTAAGATGATAAATTTTTTTTTACTAGAATTAAAAACATAGCTAATTACAATCTGTAGAAACTCTCAAATCTCTTTTTTTAAAAGACTGTATTGATTTATTTGAGAGAGAGAGAGAGAGCACAAGCAGGAAGGAGGGGCAGAGGGAGAGGGAGAAGCAGGCTCCCTGCTGAACAGGGAGCCCAACATGGAACTTGATCCCAGGACCCAGAGATCATGACCTGAGCTGAAGGCAGACGCTTCACCAACTGAGCCAGCCAGGTGCCCCCAAACCTCTTTTTAGTCTGTGAGCTCATCCTTCTTTCTCTGTGTTGTAAACCTGCTAACAAATAGGAAAACCAATGTCTGGTTTGGGTTTCCTCTTTTTCATATATAAAGTCCTTCTTCCGATGGAGGTGACATAGCACAGGTCACCCTTCCCCACACCTGACTGCACCCAAGCCAACATATCGTGACCAGGAAGACTGATGGATAAGGGGGACCAAAATAATGTACATAATGGGCAGTGTCTGCATTGTAGTAATTTGACTTAGAGGAATTCAAAACTCCACCCATTTGCTCTATCAGCTCATTTTCATATGTGTGAGATAAAAGAAGGAAGGTAGCGCTATTCTCCCATTGTAAACATGAAACAAGAAACATACAGATCTTGAGATGCATACTTCCATCCTATACCAGAGATCACCATCTTGCAAAGGTCTTATAGTACTTGACTCGCATAAAGGCTCATTTAGAACCCAGAACTCCAGGAAGTTCAAATATTTGTTTTAGTTACAAGTATTTGTTTTGATTGGAAAGCATCTTCAAAGCAAGCTTTGATTTCAGTAACTGAAATGAAGAAACCATGTGTTTTGAAATTTTCTCTATTAAAAAAAAAATGTATAGGGAGTATAAGGGCACCAGATCCGATATCCATAAACAGAGGATAGTTTGAATGAGCTTACTGGCAGGAAGTGGCTTAAATTGTTTCCAAAGTTGTATTCTGTTGTGCAGATCCGTGGTCAGCGAACCCTAGGTTAACTAGTTGACCACCACAGATGGAGAGATAAGGGAGTAGGAAGGCTTTTCACAAACCCATTTCAAGCAAAACAAAACTGGTTGTAACTAGCGGATTTACAGAACAAATTAAGTTAGGGATGATTCACTTTTTAAGGGATTTTCTAAGTTTCCTTTATGAGAGTTGCCATAATATAATTAAAGCATAGTTCCACTTATAGAAGTCCGATTTCAACCTAGACTATTAAGAAAGTACCAAACTTGGGGGTGCCTAGGTGGCTCAGTTGGTTAAGCGTAGGACTCAGTTTTGGCTCAGATCGTGATCTCAAGGTGGTGGGATCAAGCCCTGTTAGGGGCTCCATGCTCAGTGGGGAGTCTGCTTGAAGATTCTCTCCCTCTGCCCCACCCCACCCCACAGCTTGCATGCAGGCACACTGTCTCTCAAATAAATAAATCTTAAAAAAAAAAAAGCAAACTTGAATAAAATGAGGTTTCATTTCAGACCAAACTGTAATAGGTTTTATAGAGAACAATACCCTAAGTAAAAAAGTGAACTTACAATCTATTAGAGGCGATGAAACAACATTTCATAAATTTGCAAGTGTATCAGAAACATTTAGGCATAAAACATTTATGGAATGCTAAACATGGTGGGTGGGGGCAGAAAAACGAAAGAAAAACGAAAGAAAAACTGCAGGGGCGCCTGGGTGGCTCAGTCGTTAAGCGTCTGCCTTCGGCTCAGGTCATGATCCCCGCGTCCTGGGATCGAGCCCCGCATCGGGCTCCCTGCTCAGCAGGGAGACTGCTTCTCCCTCTCTCTCTGCCCCTGCTTGTGTTCCCTCTCTCGATGTCTCTCTCCTCTCTCTAATAAATAAATAAAATATTTTTTAAAAAAAAAGAAAAACTTCAAAGGGTTTCACAATGTGCAACAAGATAGGGGAAGTGACCAGTTGTTTAAGAGCCTGTGTGAATTGGGGAAAGTGTGCCATTCTTTTTTTTTTTTTAATTTTTTATTTAAATTCAATTAGTTAACATATAGTGTATTATTCGTTTCAGGGTTAGAATTTAGTGATTCAGCAGTCGTATATAACACCCAGTGCTCACTATATCCCGTGCCCTCCTTACTGCCCGTCACCCAAAAGTGTGCCCATTGTGACCAGCGAACCCCACCCCCAGTTAATCTCGTGTTACTTGCCCCTTTGCCCATAGCCCTTACTCACGCTTAGCTTCTCCTGCAGTTTCTGCATCTACTTTGCAACCCTTAGATTCCAAACCAGAGCTGCCAAAGAAGGGACATACTGGAGACTGAGATTAAGACCCAGGACTAAGAAGACAAAGCTTCAAAATTTAGTCATCTGTGCACCCTTACCTTTGTTATAGGATATTATGAGAATACAAAAATATAGAAATATTCAGCATTAACCTTAAAAATAAAAGTCACTTTCCCCGTGAAAGGGGATTTGGGAATAGCAGAGAATTGCCGCCTGCAACATGCAAGCTATGACAAGACCACAGGCAAGTCCAACATACGAAGGAGAGGAACGTGGTTTCACGGACAAGGAGGGAGTTGGGAGGGTTGCTTTGAAGCAAAGTCCACTGGAGAAAAACAGGAGTTCGGGGGGACGGTGGTTTGTCACCGGCCGCGCTGCTGGGGTGCTC